GGGGTTGAAGATGTTCTTTTTTTCCAATGAATATGTGGTAGGAAATTTCATATAACGTAGTTACACATTCGACATTTGCTGCTAATTGGTAGGTACAACGCGTATATTGTTATTTGGCCGGTTCTTCCTTTGACTGCATCAGAACATGTTCAGACAGACACCAGCGCGCGATGAATAGGTAGCAATCAGGGATAAATATCATTCTGCAACTTCGTAATTAGAGATTTCCCACCGCGAGTGTACTAACGAAAAGGCATCATCTTCGCCCCCCTTACATGGCCTTGAAATGTGTATCATTCATACTGACACATTCTCTGAGAGAGCCAAAGCCAGGCATACCAGGCCTGCACAACACTTGCTTCTGCGGGCATTCTGCACTCACGGTGTGGGCGTCTGTGCGCGAGAGCGGCGAAAGTGCAAATGGCGGGGGACAGCCAGCTTTGCGGGGAGGGGAACAGGCTACACAGAGGGCGATGCGGCGCGTAGATTGAATGCATCGGTGTCTAATGAACTGATCCATGCTGTGGAAGTATTTGCCCACTTATTTAAATACGGTAATATCTGTATTTTTAGCTACAAGGGCCGTAATTCACTGGTTATGTTCTTCTGTGCTCTGCTACGTAACGACTTATTTTCATTTTTGGATTCTTTAAAGCTTATGGTTATTGTGACTCTTAAACAACATTTTTAAGCAGTGGCCCTTAAAAAATGAATTTTAACCAACAAATTTACAATTTATTTATTTTTCACTAGTAGTGTTTTAATCTTCAAATGATAGTGAAAGCAAAACGAGATGCCAATAAGTAATCCTCTCGGACGATCAATTAGGGCAATACTGAGATTATTATGGGTCTTGTTAAGTAGAATGCAAAGGGCTTAGTATTTTTATACGGAGTCGTAAGCGATTATGAATAAAGTGTGTTCGTTGATTTGCTGATGGAAAAATATCTTATTGTCAGAAATTAGAGCAAAAAGTAAATAGGTTTATTTAAGAATAACATTTTTTGCTTTAATCGAACCGTATTAAACATTATTTATTAAAATATAGTTTATAACTAACATCTTAAAACAAAAAGATTAAATATAACAATTTTGTCTGTTACACACACTGAATTTGAGTTTACATCATATCAAAATGACTTATTTTATCATCCTTACAAACAATTATAATACTTGATGACCAAATCAAAATATACGAATGTCTAATTCGTTATAGGTTCACGTTTTGGTCATCTATCCACACAAACATTTTCAACATAATACAAACGACAAAATAGAACTTGAACGGAATGTAACACTCGCAATTACTCTTTCAATTTACGAGTTTTGCGTAAAAATACCACTTCTCATTGGTGGTCCCCACTCCTGGAACAAGTCCTACCCCCACCCATTCTCTCCCTTCCGCCTTTGCACTCGAGTGACTTGCGCGCGCTCCTGGGGTGAGTGAACATGAAAAACGCTGTGCAGGCCAGGCTAAGGCAACTCTTCACCCCCGGCCCAAGTTTTCTGATTTATTGATTTTCCACAATTAATATAAGTATCAAATATATTTTATAATATTTGGCTTTCTATTTAGTACTAATTATACGTATGTGGATAGCTTTAAACCTGAAATAGTTCCGTTGATCTACTGCATACATCACTGTCGCAACGTATTTCCTGATATATCATCTGTATTATTTTGTTGTCTTGTGTATCATATCTCTGAATTATATTTTGGCAACTGAAATCATTTTATATTTAAATAATAATTTCTGAGTAATGAAATTACTATAATTTTAAGCGATGCTTTCTAAAGTACGGCGTATTTCGCGATACTAATTAGCAACACAATCCCTAGTGACAAAATAAAAAGAAGTTTTTTGCAAATGAGCAAAAAGAAATTGTCACTCGTATTATGTTTTCAAAAACAAGATTTTGGGGTTCCAAGGAGTAATATGTCTTAAGAAATATCTTGCCAGTAACAGAAAGTTTACCTATTAACAATAAGTGTATGATGATTTGTCTACCAATCAGTGAATTTCGTTATATGAGCTTCCCTTCAAACTGTTCGTTGACAAAGATGATCTGCGACTTCTAATCCTAATGTACTAGAAGCTTGTAATGTTATAGGAGAATTAGGACAAAAGTCGTGGCACGTCTTTTTTGGGGTGTATGAGAATACGATCCCGGGTGGAAAATGTGAAATATCCACAATAAAGGACAAGATATGAACTCAGTGCATGAGCATCTAACGACACACCAAAATAGTGTTTCTTGTAATGATTACGATCTTTGAAATGACAGTCTTTGTTACATGATTCAAAGTATTTTAGTGTACACGAGTTCACAACATTCCAAAAGTATTACAAACTCGTGCTAAAGCCCCGATTAGACAGATGTTCGATTGCCACACGTGTGACATTGGTCCGCACACTCATAGGTCGTCACGTGCATTGCTGATCACTGGTTGCTAGGGGATCTCACAGTAACTGCCCTGCCCATCTCCCAACTGCCCGGTTTGGAAAGGCGTTATTTCCAACAGCTTTCACCAATTCCCGTGACAATATCTGTTATTTCTTCCATAGAGAACGACTAGCTTCGTTCATGAGCGCTGATCGAAAAGGGTTACATTCATTTTGCCCGGCGGCAGTCAGGCAACTGATTTTACACTGACCTCTGTGCTAATAAAGTCACTCCCTAAGAGAAATGTTATTTGAAAACACAAATTATTTCAACATTTTTTATGCTCAAATGAAATTGTGATCCAATAACATTTCTTTTAGGAAAAAAAAACAGTTGCCATTATTTCTGCCCCAACTCTAGGATATTCTGAGAGAGTATATTCAAGTATAAAAACAAATTATACGGAATATAACTTGTTTTCTATAATCTCTCTTGAAGAAATTCTCTAATGTTCTACCCTGTCTAATACCTTCCTGTGGAAGTAAGCAGTGTAAATAGTTTTGATCCTATGGGGAATTAACGAAATGTGAATGATCGACTTCCGTATTTTTCAAAGTAAATAAGACAAATGGTATGTCTTTACGTGTAATTTTGTGAAAATAAGCCTTTTTCGAATTGAAAGTCGCTAATTGTAGTCAAAGTCGTCAGAATTCTGCGAATCATACTGTAGCATCATTTCGGTGTTTTCCGAGCAGGCGTGTACCACCAAAAAAATAAATTAAAAAGCCAACAAGAAGTAAATGTGTGTCAAACGTTTTACCTAGGTTTTGGGTTCCTTTCAACTTTTATTCAATGGTAAAAATGTCAAATGCAATTCTTTCCATTTATGAAAATAATACAGAATATTCTACCACGTTTGTTCGGGGTCTGTTAAATAAATATCAAATAAATGTTTCGCAATTTTTAATTTGTTTTCTGGCTACTATTTGTTTTCGATATTAGTTTTTTGACTATTTCATTAAAACGTTCCATAATTATTTTTTTCCGTTTCAATAAATATTATTCAGCGCAGTCCTTAAGAGTGTATTTAAATCTGAACAATTTTGTCGCATTCATTTACTTCATTCTTCCGCAAAATGTTGCCTATAATTGGAATTAATCAATTAGGATGAGAGTGTTTGTGTGTGTGTCATTTCTAATACGTCAAGTATTTTTAAACATGGTGTATGGAAATCACAAATCGCAGAGTTGATAAAAATTAGTTGGTAATAAAATGTGTTCCAAGTAAGAAATGCAATGCTGGTGTTGGTTATTGATACATTTTTGCCTGACAACAGAAACTCAGAATTTAAACGTCCGGAATATTGATTGACTGGGGTGAACAATTTGGTGTTGAAGCGTAAATCATAAATTTACGTTACTTGTAATACAACCTATTATTCTTTCCTGTGTTAACGTTTAAGTACTTTTTACATTTGATTTAATTGTACACTTTATTCATTATATTACTTGTCGTGTACTGTGTTGCATTTCGTTGTTCTTGATAAGAAACTACTAGTACATTTCTCGTTACTCAAAACTTTAATTTGTTCTAAATTATTGACAACAAACTCGTTAAAACAATTAAACACGTGATCCAGTGATCCGTCTGAGGAATGACTTAGAATAGATGTATGCATTGAAATGTTATCGATTGTGTTTACCTAGCTTACTAAATAATATTCTATGCTCGATGATGCTATTCCATTGTGAAAATTAGTAGGCTCTGCTCATTTCGTGCCACTGAGGCTAAACTTTGTTTTATTTATTTTTTAGCCTTTAATATCTAGGTACGTTCATTAGTTTCTCGGTATAGAACGATTTTCTTAAGAATGGGATAAAGTGACAGTTCGTGAAACAAGTGAACAACACGTGTACTTCAGAGTACGCATCTCACATTCAAGACTCGGTTTTAAAACAAACATAATACTTATCACATAAAAACTACATTCAATGTAATTTTTATAAAAAGAAATAATTTTTACAGAAGAGCACAAAGCTCTGCACTTCCTAATTTCAATTATTTCTCGTGAGGCACTATATTTTCGTCGGACGAGGACATCACAGCCAGGGAGCGTCGTAACTATTTACAAGTTAGCCAACTGCAAACGAACGAATGGAGGAAGCAGAGTCTAATAAGTTCAAGGACACCACGACCACACATAGAGGAGAGATACAATATAGAGTAGAGATATCTCTCTATTATATGCGACCACAGAATCGTCAGTTGTGTTGCCAGCACTAGCTGTCAAAGCATTCCATTCTAAAGAAAATCGGACAATACCATTTGCTAGCTTATTGGAACCGTTTACCAGTTTCTCGGTACCGTTTGCTAGCTACTTATTATTTTACTTAGATTGTTTTATTTTTGCATTATTTCTTTATTATTTTTTTAAGTAGTTTCCCTTTTGCGTTTTCATATTTTCAATTCTATTTATTTGGACCATCGTCCCTTGTTGGTTCTGATTTGCGCCGCGCGCTCGCGCTGGGGGCGGTATGACCAGTGGGGGCGGTGGGGCGTCTGGTCGGGGCGCGCGTGAAAGCGTCGGCGGCGTCCGCCAGTGCTGCCAACTCACCCGCGCCTTCTCCAGCTGGCTCAGCGCCTGGCGCTCCTTCTCCCTGCGCAGCGTCTCCTTCTCCTCGTCCAGGGAGAGGTCCGACGACGGCTGCGAGTAGTTGGAGTCGGCCGAGCCCTGCACACAACGCGCCACGTCACTTCGCTGCCGCACACGCGCACTCGCGCGCCGCCGCCAGGGGCGGGATCCTCGGGTTGACCTCGATGGCTTATCTCCACTTTGCGCTATTGTATGTGTGGGTTGTTTTTATTTTATTATGAAGATGAAATTGTATTCAGATGCAAATAATAATAATAATTATAATGTCTCCTGTTGTACTGAATTTCCATTTTAAGATAATTGGATTTAAAAGAATTATTTTTGTTGTAAATATTGTGAAGTATTTGAAGTTTTGACATTAAACAAAACATTTTAACTGTTATCAATGAGAATTTAATCAAAATTTGAAAATCCATGTCGAGTACTTATCCAACGGTCCAATGGATGGATGTTCTGAAGTATTGTAGCGTATATAAATGCAAATATGTATGAGAGTGTCTATGTAAGTTTACATATGTCGGCAGTATTTAATTCTGGAATGTCGTTGTCATTCAATTTAGTTCAATTTTGTATGATACAACAATCTATAGCTTGCTTTGAAGGAATATAATTGGTATATACTATTTTGTGAGTAGTACAACCACGAAGAGCATTGGTAGCTCGTAGTATATTTGAAATCGAGAATGTGGCAGAGTTCATTGCAAACTGTATAACTTCTATTTTCATGTGCTGTTTTTCAATTACAGGCAAACAAAATTGTGACGCCTTACCGTACAAATTAAACATATTCCGTGAAAGAGTGTTAATGAAATAAGCCAGCATCAATTAACCAACTCTGCGTACAAAATAAAATTAGTTCCTTCTATATAAAGTTAGTTGTCCATAAAGAACAATTGTCTACATACATTCTCTAGAGAATCTAATTTCTCTACTATATCAGAAAATAAGCACAGATATAACAAGGAAAAATCATACTAATTCTAATTCTTAAAAATGTACCAGTTATAGTAATAGTTAATCTAATCTACGAAAATTGTACTGTAAAGACATGAAATATCCTAAGCTATATATAGATGAACATGGAACTAAACAACTCTACAATAATTACTTATTGAGAAGAAATACTATTTGCACAAAGTACACACGAAATAATGAGTAGTAAAAAGCATTCTTGTAATTAAAGATAACCGGTTTTATTACATTTAAACAAAGGAAAATAATTAAGTTTTATTTAATCTATTTTAATGACAAATTCGTACAAGTTACGTTTCGTTATGAGTTTGATAACTTCTTTAAATACAACTGAAATGATTATGAAACGTAGCCTAGTAACGCGTATGTCATTAAGCCAGAAGAGGAAATCAAACAACTTATTCCCATTTGGAGAAATAAAAATAAAGTTGTCCTTAATCACAAACACACTTTCCACTACTCATAGTTTACAGATAGTCATTTTTGGCGTTTTTGCTAGCAACCACACTTAAAATACATACGAAATGTAGACATATCTATGTTTACTGCCATATACGAATACAACGACCTAGTTATGAGAGAGACAAAGTACTGCTTGGAACTGCAGATTGCATCCGCTGCCTTCATGGACAGTCGGAAGGCGCGGGGGGGGGGAGGGGGTGCAGAGAGAGGATGGGTTGCCATGCAAACGATGCAGAGACGACGTGGCGACGCTGCAAAGGCGGAGAGAACGGGAGAGTATGCGTTCAAACTACCGGGAATCAGCAAGCAAGAAACACAGCCATCCAGATAACTGTCGTAAGAGGGGTAGAAGACAGAGGAAACTGACGTACACACTTTGTGAGTTCTGTTGTGCGAGGGAAAGTATAAAATGAACAAAAAGTGCCCAAGCCGTTTGTAACGAAAAATATATTAGGTAAATATGCTTTTTTGTAGGTAAAATTACATTTTTATGGAACGGAATGTAACCGAATTGTCGATAAAAAATTTTGAAAGTATGATGAATGATGAAAGTATCAGAAACGTCTAAAAAAATAGTAAATTGTCATTTTATATTTTGACACTTCCAGCAACCGAGGCCCGATTTACACCCTTGCTTTTGACGAACAATTCCGGAGTTTTAACAAACACGCGCATGCGCAATAATGCTTCTAAAGTTCCAGAGGCCTCATTGCACACATGCGCGTTCACTAAGACCCGATTTACACGCTTCCTTTTTGACCAACGATTTCCGGAGTTTTAGCGTAGGTGCGCATGCGCATTGTAGTTTTGTCAATGCAGATGCCGTTTTGCGCATGCGCGTGTTCGTCAAAACTCCCGTAATCGTCAAAAGGAAATGCGTAAATCTGGTCTTAAACTCGTGAATTGTACGCCAAAAGGTAGCGTGTAAATCGGGTCTTACACGCGCAATCTCGCCTTGCACAACATTACGCACGTGAGATCTAAATCTCAATCTGTATACGTCTGGACCTCGATTCCTCTCGAAAATACAGGGTGAAAATCGTGAACGACCGTGTAGGCGGTTCATTGCAGAGAAAGTGGCTTACCAGTGGAGTGTACTGGGTCATAAGTTACAGGTCACACCACTATAGTGCAGCGGCATGCAAGAGATCAGTCAAAAAACAGAAGAGAGAAACAAGTGTTAATGAGAAAAACCATTAGCTTTAGTTTAACATCACCTGTAGATCGTAATAGGAAAATTGGAACAAAACACAAATTACAAGAAATATTATTGAAATTGTTAACAAACGCAAGACAATGTGGAACAATATTGTACGGTTGTATAAAACAAATCCACGAAAGGGTATAAACATGTCAACATATTTTACTTTTGGTGATACGAAAGTAAAATAGTACTTAATGCGTACTACTGGAAAGAATAAATAAAATAAAACGAACAAGAATGAAATATTTTACTTCTGTTCAAATAAGAAGTCATAAGGAGAAAGTAGTTTCAAGTTTACTGAAATTAACTAGGTTACCAAAGCTCTTGTCTTCTAAGAAAGTTAATTCCTTTAATGTACGAGTATTATTTTTTATAAAGTTTTCCTTATTAAAGAGGAACATTTTTGTACCTTATTCAGCACCTCTATCAAACGTGTACTAAGTTTTGAATGGTCTTAATAACGCCTTGGCTTCCGTCAAATCACTTATAGTAGTAGTAAATTGAGTGTATAATGTCATCGTGAGGTAAATTTAACAACATATCTAAATTATAGGAACAAAAATAATTTTTGGAAAACACTTGAAAAAAGACTTGTCGGCTTTCTAAATGCTCTTGATCGCTCCGAATTTGCAGAATTTCTGCACTAATACTCCGCGACGCGGTGTGATATTTTTGTGTAATCGCAAGATTTGTGGAGCGCCATGGTCTATTTTCTGAAGGAATAGGATGGGATGACGCAATATTAAGGTTTCTAAATGCAAGTAGATAGGTTATTTAGTCTTCTGATTCTCTCTTCGTATAATTGTACATCAAAGACAAACTTCTAAGTTATTCTTTAAGACATATTTTATTCTATTAAGGACACTTCTCTACCTTTGCGATAGGAGTCTCGGAATGAAAAACAGTGTAATACTTGCCGAGGTGTAAATGGTGTTCCCACTGAACACAAACTGTTGATGAAATCAGAACTTAACGGATGAAATTGGACACATAAAATACTATATTGTGATTGTACATCCAAATCTTCATCATATATTACGTTCCCTCCATCATTCCCGAACGCAATTTTTCCTTTGAGAAATGTGCCCTAAAATCCACCACGACATCAAATTAGTAATTTTCATCTGCTAATGATTTTTTTTTCTAATTGAAGTTCTAAGAATGTGAAATTGTCATTAATTATATTTTTAAATTTGAAAGTTAATTGATTGTGTTGTGAATTACCACGAAATCATTCGCAAGCTTTCTCTTGTAGAGGTTGTTTGTTTTTTGCTTATTAATCTGGGAGAGTAGAAAGAATGTTAGATTATTTAAGTATTTTTTTAAAATGTTAAGTCGTAATGTTGATGATATTAAGACATTAATGTGAATTTATGAGTCTTGAACGTTATGTGAAGAATGTTTCGTTTATTTAGTTCAATCAATTTGGATATAATGTTTTCCCAATATTATAAAAATTACTATCAATATTTCAATGTACTTTGCACTTACACGATAGGTATCGATTTAATTTTTTCTGACCGTGGAAATCAATGACCAATATTTCACTCAGCAACACAGAATCAAAAACATTCAATATCTATGGTAAATATAAACTCGTATGTTCTCACTACAGAGATCGATATTCAGGGACAACATTTGTAAAAGGAGTCCGTTATGACACTGCGTGAAACGCAAATGCTTCGTCGTCTCTGTAAAATACACTCGTAGTGCGAATGAAAAAGAAAGACAAACAATTAAGGAAATAGACGAGTTCAATAAACGCAAACATTAATGTACAACGATGTAAACTAATTCTACGAAGTTAAGTCATTAATACCTGCTTCGTTTTGACAAACGATTTTGAAGTTTTGGCGAACGCACGCTTGCATCGTATTCTGAACCCCGGAATAGATTTAACATTGCACATAAACGCGCTCGTTGAAACTCCGATTTTTTTCTGGAAAAGGAAGCATGCGAATTGGGTTCAAGATATGAATTCACTACGTAGTTGACACAAATTTCTCGAAAACAAACAACCACCCGCGCGTGTTACACCCAAACTATTATTTTTTATTGTTACTCCACAAGAAAGCTCTTATATTCTTCAAGAAACGAGATTTCGAATTAAATAGGGGTAATTATTTCCGTGACAAATCATGCGCCAGAATGAACGTACCTGTTAAATAGAGCCCAGTGGAATTGATTTTTTACAAAGGCATACCTACTTAGGATCACGTAATAGAAAATTCATACACGGAAGGTTGTAGGTTCAAGCCTTTTTGCTGGAGAATTTTGAACACCAGATATATTTATGTATTGATTAATGTTTCCGGAAATAACTGCTACGGTCATTAGTTAGTGAAGTGAATGTTTCGTTCCTGAAGGGGCCTACATTCGGCTTGCGGGATTCCACATAGCTCTCCAAGCGGGGCACCGTACCGGCAAAAGCTTTAAGATC